GGTGCCTCCGTTCCGGGGGCCGGGGCGGGGGGACACGCGGCACACCGGTTTCCTGGTTGTGTGTGCGTGGTTTTTAAACTGTGCCTGAAGCGATGGGTCGTTGTTAAGGATTCCTGGCGTTCCTCGGTCGTGGCTCACGTGCCGCCGTGCCCCCCTCCGTTTCAGGTCATCAGCCCCGAGAAGACGGAGCCCACCGTGAGCCCCGAGGGAATCCAGACGGAGCTGGATGAAGAGATGGAGAACGATATTTGCAAAGTGTGGGACATGTCGATGGACGAGGTAGGAGGGATGTGGGGGAGTTCACAGCCACGCGTGACTTCTGCCCTGCGCCTTCAGTCCGAACCCTTCTGGAAGCGGGGGACGGTGCAGAATTACCGGGGCTCGGGCAGCTTTCTGATTTTGACCGTGTTGATTGTTCCTTGGCTGACGGTGGGCTCCGAGCCATTAGGCCGGGCAGGTGTGGTGGACTGGCATCAAGCCGGCTCATCACGTAAACTGCTTTTCAAGATGAGCAAGTGCGTTGCGTGCACTCCTAAGCCCAGCACGAGTTTCCAAAGCAGGCCTTCTGTTGTGCCTGCCAGCTGCGCCCCGTGCTGCTCCCTGAGGAGGTAAAGCAGAGCCGTGTGTGAGTGGAAAAGAACTGCGGTGGTCTGCCTGACCTTCCCTCCAGGTGTCTAATGGATGGTGCGGTGCTGTTGCTTTGGGACGACTGGCTAAATGGGGCTGCATTCATACCTGGTAGTTTGCTGTATTGTGCGCAAGAGTTGAACTGAAGCTGGGGGTAATTAGAAGACAGGACCTTAGCTGTAGCAGAAATTAACTCAGGTGCATAGCCTGTATCTTCAGCAGTTTGATTATCAAGATAATATTGTTGCCATCTCTAAACAGGCATCTTTTTCTCTAGCAATTGTAATGTATCCTGCTAGTAAGTGTAATTTTCTCTGATAAACAACCTCTTGAAGCTTAGCTACAGACTCGTAATGGCAATGTAACATAACTCTTGGTATTTTTCTCAACATTCTCAAATTCTGGAATGAATTCTCAAGTAAGAGATACATATTAAAAAAAACAAACCAAATTTTATTCCTTGGCTCTTTGTTTAGATATTTTAACTAAGTATAGAAGATGTGTCCTTTGCTTCCAAATAGAGAAATAATCTTGTGTTTTAGTGTGGTAAAATAAGGAGATTTCCTCTCTTGTATGGTCTGATCAAGTGTTAATAGTAATCTCTTCCCGTGTTTCTTTATGGGTGATGCCACTGTCTGAAAACATGGTATTTGCTGAATTCTGACTTGACATCTGTGATCCTCTGTTAAGACAGAGAGCAAAAGAAACTAAATGTGACTTTTTTGCTCATTGTATAGCAAATCGCTGGCATCCTGAATCGCTGTAGAGGCTTGCTGATCTTCTCTCATGGAAAAGCAGGAATTGTTGGCATTAACTGTTGGGAAGTAACTGATCTCTTGTAGCGAGTTTGACATCTCTTTGATCCAGTCCTTGTGCTGTGAGAAAAGGTTTGATTTTTGCATTTGGAAGTTATAGAAGTCTATTTACTTTTCCATTCACTTTCTTCACAGGATGTCGCTTTATTTCTTCAGGAGTTCAACGCCCCGGACATATTCATGGGAGTTTTTGCTAAGTCAAAATGCCCTCGCCTTACTGTAAGTATGGGCTGTCAAAAAGCTGTCCCATATTAATAGCAATAGTGGATAGCTCTATACATACTTTTACACATATCTCCCTCCTCCTCCTCCTCCCATTGTTTATTTGAATACGTTTGTTCAAGGAGAAAGCGCAAAATCAAATTTTAAAATGTTTTTTCACAGTGTTTTTAATATGGTCTAATCAGTAAATATTTCAGTGATACTGAATCTGATATATGTCATTACTGATGAAGACTAAATTTATCAAAACTAGTTATAATGCTTATTATAAAAAACTTTAAAGCCTGGCCTTTTTTTCTCATGACTTGTTTCATGATTACTGAACAGAAACAGTCACGGATTTGTTTAGTCAGGCCTACAAAAGTGTGGTGGGTTGACCTTGGTTGGACACCAGGTGCCCACCAAAGCTGCTCTATCACTTCACCTCAGCTGGACAGGGGAAAAAGTATGATGAAAGGCTCGTGGTCGAGATAAGGACAGGGAGAGATCACTCACCAATTACTGTCATGGGCGAAACAGACTCTACTTGGGGAAATTAATTTAACCTATTATCAATGAACTCATAATAGGATGATGAGAAATAAATCCAAATCTTAAAACACCTCTCCTCCACCCCTCCCATCTTCCTGGGCTCAACTTCACTCCTGATTTCTCTACCTCTACCTCCTACACCTGAGCAGCACAGGGGTTTGCAGTCGGTTCATCACACATTGCCTGCTGCTTCTCCTCACACTCTTCCCTTGCTTCAGCATGGGGTCCCTCCCACAGCAGACAGTCCTCCATGCACTTCTTCAACATGAGTCCTTCCCACAGGCTGCAGCTCTTCACAAACTGCTTCAGTATGGGTCCCTTCTGTGAGCTGCATTCCTTCAGGAGCAGACTGCTTGCTGGGTCATAGGAACTTGGAAATCAAACTGGAAAATGTCTCTGAACCTTTCTTACTATTGTTTTATGTCTGGGGGAATAAAGTCGTGAACTACATTGCAGTTGCTTCATTATAATGTGTTTTGACTTTTCAGGAAATATGTGTGGGAATATTGGGAAATATGGCCTGTTTCCAAGACATATGCATGTCCATTAGTAAAGATGACAATCTTGGGTAAGTGGATGTGTGTGTTATACATGCATGAGTACTGCTTTTGTGGATTCGCAGCCATGAAGTACATGTTATAGAAGGAATTTAGTTTGCTTGCCACGCCTCATCCTCATTTACACCTTTCTGGCTGACCATATTTGTGTGGGAAGTGTTCAGTGAAGGAAAAAAAGGATATGCACCACTTTGTTTTGGTTTTAATCACCAGTCAAGTTCTTGAATTCTTAATTTCTAAGTTTGGCAATCTTGATACACTGGAAATGCATGCAGAGTCAGGAAAAGCTGGTTTTAATGTCAGAACACAGCTGCAGCTAGAAATTAACATTTCTATAAATTTTTTTTTAAACAGATTTTTTAAAACTTTTTAAATTAACTTTTGTCTTGCATTTTCTCCTTAAAGCCAAGTGTTATTGCAACGTTTATGTGATTCAGACTCCCCAACTCTTCTGGAAACAAGCAGGTAGGTCATCTCAGAAATTAATGCATCATTAGTGTAGTTCTCCTGTGTTCTGAGGCCTGGGAATAAAATTGTCAAGGGGGCTCACTATTTTATTATCCTCTCATCCTATCCTTTTCTCATTTCTGCATTGTTCTGGAAGTGATTTGCTGTGAGCTAGAATTCTATTTCTGCCACATTATTCTCATTATTTTGGATTTACACTTGTACAGCTAAAATTAATGAAGTGGCTTCTGATTTCTTAAATGAACAATTCTTGTCTAGGTTGTTATTAACTTGCCTCTCCCAGCCTGAGGTGGCCAATGTCTGGGTTGAGAGAATCCGAGAAAACCCTTCCGTGTATGACTGTGTTTGCTTTATCATGTCCAGCTCTACAAATGGTAAGTTGCCAAAACAAGCTGGGAATTAGTGGGTGCCTGCAGAAAAAAGAGTGAAGTATGCAATTTCAAAGACAGATATTTTCAATTGGGAGTACAGAATTTCTTTAAAAGAAAGTAAACCTCATGAATTTAAAGAACACTAAAATAAACTTGTCCTTCTTGTGCAGGTTTATAAATGTTAGACATATAAAACCAATCAGAAAAGCACCCATAGAGGAAGAAGAAAGTTCTGTGGGGGAATCAAAACACGTCTAATAGAAGAAATTACTATTTGGTGCAGTAAAGGAAAGGACACAGTCCTTATTCAGGGATATACAGATGTCATGTCTGATCCTTGAAACATGACCTCATTTGATTTTTTTCAAATCAGAGATGTATTTTCTGTTTTTAAAATTACCATGCTTGTGGAGTGTGAACTGGAGGAATGATTCCGTTACTCTGAGCGGCAGCTGAGTACAGCACAGGCTTTGGGTATGCAGTCAGTGGTACACAAATCTTTCTTTCTTAGCCCTAATTTAGCAAAAACCTAATAGTGAAAATATTTTGAACAGCATTTATGTTTCACATCCAACTTAATTGTAACAGCAGCTACCATTTGTCTAGGAATCCTAATAATTCAGCTTTTTCAATTTTTTTTTTTTTTTTTTTTTTTTTTTTTTTTTTCCTTCTCTGTCCAGCTGAAATCATGGATCTACTTAAGGAGATTGGATGTAATGTTAGCAGAAAAGTGCATATTTAGGGACAAAACTTGGAAAGTTTTACTTAAGAAGCAGAAGCTACAGCTTTTCAGGAATGTAAAGTTTCTTTGCAGAATGCAGTTCCTGCTACATAAATGGCACGATAAGGTAGAATGTGTCACTGGACTTTTCAACAATCCCTATTTATTAAGCTCTTGACCCAATCTATGCCACAAAAGGAATTAAACATAGCAACCTTTAGTAGGTTGTTAATGAAATGAATATATTTCAGCACAGAATTTACTCTGAATACTTTTATATATTGGCATTTTATGAGCTAAGTTTTGCTCTTTGTTTTTAGTCTTGTTGAAATGTATACATTCTCTCTTGTGCAGTTGAATTGCTGGTAAAAGTGGGTGAAGTGGTGGACAAACTCTTTGATCTAGATGAAGAGCTAATGTTAAACTGGATTAAAAATGGCACTTGTCGGTCTGTGGGACCATCTGTAGATGATTCCCCTGAAGAACTTCCAGATTTTAAGATTGTGCCTTGTATACTTGAAGCAGCCAAACAAGTCCGGTATGTGAGCTTTCGTTTTGG